GCCCACTTTAGTGAATATTCTTGTGGAAGACAGCCCATTTATACCAAAAGAACCAGGTTGTTGACAAGTGTATGACGGAAGATAAAACACAAGTATTTCAAGGCATGTTTTTCAGACAGAAGCCGTGGACAGACAAAACAACTAAGACAGAGTGATAAAGAACCCTGCTGGCATGAGTATATTCTCAGACATGTCACCATCAGAGGTGTTATTTCGTACTATCAGGTTGAATATTCTAGGGTTGTGATCGCCACACATTCCTTCATTTGGTTGACTAAATTCACCAGTAAAGAGTTTATCTGCTCTGCGTAAGTTCCAAATCTCTGCATTTTGTGCGTGCAGTGAATAACTAATCAGAGGGTGATCTGTTTTGCAATAACTAAACTCTTCTGGTCTGGAATGCTTACTGTTGACTTCATGTATTCAAATTTGTTAATCACATCTTGAATCGAGCAGATGAATTCTCTAATCTGATCGATACTAATATGAACAACCATGCAGGACATTAGATAATCTAGATGAATTTATTTCTTGAAGTATACGATGCCACATGTTACTCGTATTATATATTACTATACGTGTAATATGTAGATTGACATACTATATATCATATCGCCTGGAACCATGCAAAGAAAATACAATTCCACATTTGAACGGTCATTTCAGATGTTTGACTATTTTGTGCAGACAGTGGACATTTCAAATCCAATCCTGGAAATCTGAAATTGATTTTGTTCTCAGTGTACTGATTCTCGTATTATTTAGCATATGAAATAAAAAGTTTACAATTTTGTTCGGTAAAAGGGCCGTAAACTCTCACCTAATCGGGACACTGAAGGATGCGCAAATAAGCTTTTTTGACAAAGTTATGGGCAGACTCATGCTATTTGTCATAATGTCAGCGATTTGGGCACAGTTTTGCCGAATCTATGAGCACAATCGATCAATTCGGTTTTGACGGTGCTCGATTCCCACTGAGCCATTTCCTTCCGAAAAATGTTGTGACGTACAACAGTGAAACTCTTGTGAAACGAATCAAAACATGGGATTTGTGTAACTGAGACGAGATAAAATATAGATAAAATACAGAAATATCAAAAGTCCGAAGAAAAGGAAAAGACTTTAGTGAACTTGTAAAGTGTGAAGCACGAAAAATCTACTGAAAACCTCTTCGGAATCTGTGTCGAGTGTTAGGCAAACTGGGGCGTGTGGCAGCCGTTTGTCCTAGAAGCTATTGGCGAGACATGCGGAAAATCAACGGAGAGAAACTGAGGGTGAAATTTGACACATCGTAAAACTCTGTTTTGGACGTGAGGAAAACTATCATAATACACATGGGATACATGCTGATCAAGCTGTTGATTTGCTTATGTTGGCTTAGTAATGGAAAAGACAACTGTGGTGTGACTGGGATATAACAATATAACATTAAGGCTAATAATCGCAGTCACGTTCCCTAAGGGTAACGTACCCCAGGAGCCCTATTCCGAACACCCGATACCAGCTTAGTTTGCTTTTCATTCTAGCAGTGATATTCAACAACCTAAGTGGGACTAGATTTATCCCATATTTTCGATATCTAAACCAGAGTCTGGTGATAGAATTTGGCACTTTTCGAAAAAACAAATCATAAATCTTGGCTCTGGCTTTTGTAGCCATGTTTAGAAGTGTATCTGTTCTGACCCGATAAACGAAGCTAGCCTAGTCAGCTAGACAACATTGATCTATGCACTGTGATGTGCCATATTTTTATTGTGAATTCTGAAGTGTTTTGCTGCAACCAGTGAGACCTAAAAAAATTACGTAAACGATTTCGCGTGAGTAGCTTCTGACGAATCTGCCAGATAAGACCAATTACTAACCAGAAAACACACTAGTATAGTCTATTCACACCCAGTCCGAGACGAAATCCTTGCCAAATTCATGCTGCTGATGTCAACTTATCCTCAAAACAAAGTTATCAGATTCCAGGTGACCGTGATATTCTATGGTTTTTAGTCATTGCACATGAAAGTAGCCAGCCAGAGAACAAGGCCTGTTGCTGCCTATTTGAACTTTTAAGACGCACATTTCCGGCTAGACTTAGGCTTACTTGAACTGCGATCGATATTGGCAGTGTTGTGGAATGTAGGTAGCTCTGGTGCGCTGCTCGGTTGTTGGTCTGATCGCTGAGCTTGGCAGTTGGATTGCAAACATTTCATCATCAATCGAGGCAATGTCATCAGGGCAGGGTTGGGTGGAACCAACCAAGCA